AAATGTTTGCATTTTATAGAACATTTTACACCTTAAAGAAAAACAGGAGAGATTCTTTGAGTGGATAAAGGATGCAACCTTCTCCAGAGTAGCTGCATACATTTACTTTTATTTAAGCTTTGTGTACCTCATCTCTACGTATCAGCATGGGAGATGAGAACTTTCTGTGCTCTAACACAGAGCATAGTCTCACAGCTGTGAGACTGTAAAACTTATCTTAAATTCACTTCTCAAGGGCATGTAATCACACAGTGGTTCTGAGGGGCTTTTGGTATAATTGGTGTATTGGGAAGATCATATACTGGTGTGGTAGAACAGGCACCCTAGCTTGCCAGCTTGCCTGAATGGTCCATACTGACATGCAAAGTTGCAAGGGGATTGTATCTTCCCAGGTTTTAGAATGGATATACTTGAAGCCCATCTCCTGGCAGCTCTCTGCATCAGTTCTGTCATTCATACTAAATTGCTTGTCTGCAAAACTAGCTACATATTTATTTTTGAATAATGTTGTGTATTTGCCCCTAGAAAAAAACAAAAAAAGGAAAGTTGTATAGTAAAATCTGTAACTTAACTTTGCCTGTATTTTCTAAATCTTCACGGCAGATCTGTGTGAATATTAAGGCTGCCTTGCTGTGAGGCCTTTATCCTGTGAACAGAATGTGTGCATCTTGCTTTTAACTCCCATCGTTGGCCCTAGCTGATACTTCTTGCAAAGCTCAGTAGTAAGTCAGAATCAGGTAACTGATTGCTTTGGGCTGCTGAATTATTTTGGGAAGTCTGTTTTCATGGTGGCTGGATGCTGACTTCCATTCCTTGTACGCCAGCATGGCAGTCAGTGGGGATACCTAAAGGCCAGTGGTGGTCTCCAGTGTTGGATCGACCAAAAGCGTGATTGTCCAGGATAGATTCTAATATGAACTCTGGTAGAACATCCATCTCTGTGTGAAACTTGTTACAGCAATTAATTACAGTACTTTTTGGTAGAATCAAATTTATTTTCTTTTGAGACAGGACCAAAACAATACTTGGAATCTGAGCTTTAATAACCAGCTGAACAATCTGAAGTTGTACCTCAACTTCTAATACACCCTTAAAGCAGCTGTCCAGTCTCACATGGTTCAGAAGTCTTCCATCCAGATGGAACAGTGAGTCAGTTGGCACTATTTCATTTAGACTTCTGCTTAATAACTGAATCACCCTTCAGAGATTCTGATCACTGTGTAGTGAACCCACGCTCCAAACTGGTTTTATTACCTTCTTAAAAGTGCTTTAAAGCACGTTATTGAATTATGTCCCCTCTCGGTACCAGTACAGCCACGGAGCTTAGTGTGGGATGAAGGTTTTTTTCTGTAACTTGGTACTGCACTTGTGTAAGTAGTATGAAAGGTGTGGGATCATTGATCTATTTCAAAAGACAGGTGGTAAAACGTCAATGTTGACTTTAATTGGAGAAAGTGAGAGACTGGTAAGTATGTGCCTCACTTTAATGCATGCAAATAAGAGTAACAGTAACTAAGCTTAATTTTATAGCATTCAGTTTACAAAGAAGACTCAACGAAAACATGCAGCTGACATAATTTGCATCCATTGGGAACCTTCTGTGAACTGTATGCTTCCAGAATGGATCACTGCACATATACACATCTGTAATGTGTGTCTTCCACTTTGTAACAGTGTCTGATTAAACAGAAGTGAATCACTGTTTCTGTGTTGTTGTTTTTTTTCTCTTCTTGAGGACCTGTTTAAATTATTGCAACAGAGGCAGCTGTTCCAAAGTGTGTGTAAGCGTGAAATCCACCTTTGCTCATGTTATGGTGGGAATAACTTTGTATTAACTCTCTGTAAACTGCAAAAACTCATTTACATGAGCTTTATCTTGAAGTACTTTATACCTGGACACAAGCAAATTAATCCTGACTTCTTATCTTGTAACTTCCTTCTGCTCCTGATCTGCTGTTCTTCAGCTGAACTGACTATACACAATGTTTGACGATTTAAGTCAGGGGTAATATGGAGGAAAAGTAATAGCATTTTCATATAATGTGGTGAAGATGGCATGATATTAACTCGTCGTGTTCTAAAGCCTTTTAGAGCAAAATGCTGGAGAGAGATGAGGTAGCTTTGAAGAAGTGTGTCCATGCAACTCTTGTCTACAGGATGGGAACAGATTACTCTGCTGGCCTGGTTGGTCTTATACAACTAACCACTGTTTATTAATAGGTTGATTTCTAAGAGGTGATAAAAGGAAGATAAATCCATATCTATACAAAAAGGATGTGGACAGGCTGGAGAGAGTCAGGTCACAAGGATGATCCAAGAACTGAGAAGCCTGCTGTGTGAGGAAAGGCTGAGAGAACTGGGTTTGTTCTGCCTTGAGAAAAGAGAGCTTGGGGGGAGACCTTACCACCATGGTCCAGTATATGAAAGGCAGCTAGAAAGAAGATGGAGACTGCCTTTTTACAAGGAGTCACATGGAGAAAGATGGAGCAATGGGTAGAAGTTACTTCTGGGGAGATTCTGATCAGAGAAAGATTTTTGCCTTGCGAACAATAAGGCGTTGGAATAATCTCCTCAGGAAAGTAGTGGATTACTCAACACTGGACACTTGAGATTCACATGGATGGGGTGCTTGGCTATCTTGTCTGGACTGTGCTTTTGCCAAGAAAGGTTGGACCAGATGATCCCTGAAGTCCCTGCCATCCTGGAATTTTGGTATGTTTTTAATGCTTCACTATCTGAAATGATGAGTGGCATTTTGTGTGGAGATGTGTAATGAGGAGGAGCTTAATACTAAGTAGAGGACCCTTTAGGGAAGGTTGCAAATTTGCGTGAGCTCTTTTCTGGAGGCCCTTCCCTGTGGTCTTTTTGAATCCAGGGAAATCTGAGAGGGCATTGGAAAGCAGGAGAACTGCTTTATCCTAAAGCTTGCAGGGCAAGGGGTTTTGTGTGTTATGTGGCCTGATAAAAGAACTCCTAAATTGGATTGATGAGACATTTGTGGACTTGAAATGTGACTGGGTGAAGAGTAAGAAGGATGGGTCTGTACTTCCTGCCCTGTGAGCATCAGCAGCTTGTCTTGCAATGTGGGAGCCCTAGTGTTTGTAGCTTAATGTTGTTTCTCTAAATCTTATTTTTGTGGGGTAGGGGGAGAACTGTGTTTATAGTACCTTGCTGAGGTAGTTTGGATCTAAGCCTATAGTTTCTAAGTGTTAGGAATGGGTATCTTTGAAAAGCAAGACCTGTACCTGGGTCTCAAAGGAAAGACTGAAGAGTCTGCATTGAGGGCTACAGAGCAAGACGTAGATAACTACAGGACCATGTCACGTGTCTGCATGCAGGAAGTAAACAAGGTGGACCCTTTTGGCTAAGCTGTCTGGCTTTAATTTTTCATCAAAGTAACAATCTCTTTTTAAAAACCATGCCTTTGACACAGCACTTGAGCAGGTTGTATAAACTGTTAAGCAGTTAATGCTTTATTTTAGCTCCCATGCTCTTCAGTAAATTTGTATGTCCTATTTCTACTGTGGGTTGAAGCCATCCTCATACCCCATGCTAGACCTGGAAAAGCTGCCTCTGCCCAGTTAAATTTTCAAATGTACACTTTTCCCCTTTGCCCCCTACATCAAGGTGTGGGGGGGAGGGCAGACAAGCCCTTTTCTAGTACCCCAGCACACTTGGTCCTGGCAGTTCAGATGCTGCCGAAGCTTGTCTTGTTTCTGCTTCTTGAGGCCAGAAGGTGAAGGCTTGGTCTAGATAGAATAATCATTGGTTTCATCCTGTTTGTTCTGAATTCATGGTGGCTTGCAATTCCTTTTACAGTTTTTGGCTGTGCCCAGAGCTTGACTGAAGTTGGAAAGGCAAATTGTACCTTGATACTGTTAAAACTGCATCTTCAGGTAGGGTAATTTAGTTCATAAATGGTAATTCTTTCTAAACTTTGTTTATTGGTTTAAAACTTAAGCTATATGGCATGGTTTTTGGAAATTGTAGTGATTATAATACAGCATCAAACAATCCAAAACTCCAAGAAAAATGGGTGGCTTTAACAAGCTTAATGTGACATGCTGGTTGCAGACACAGTGCTGGCAACAAACTTTCATTTTTCAAATTAGTAAATCAGGCTAGACAATCTTTTCAAATATGGATAAATACAGTAGACAAATCTGGGTGATGTACTTTGGATGTTTATTGGATAATATTGCAAAAACATTCCATCAAGTGCTGGAATTCTTACAGACTATGAAATCATAACTGCATACAAATATAGTCACTGTCTTAACTGCTTATGTGCCTCTGCACCCCTTCCCAGAAACAGATACCTAGTACGGTTTGTCACATTTACATGGAGAAGCAATGTAGGGGTGATTGTAAAATTGGAGACCTGGTTTTTATAAATCCTGATGTTTGCAAAGTTAACTTGAAAAACGCTTATGTTCCCTCTGTGCTTCTCTGCTGGATGTAGGGTTGCAGTTGCTGGGTAAATGTGTTTCATACCTGGTACATGTATGTTACAGCTAGTGTGCTACACACGTCCGGAGCTCACTTGAACTTCATTACTGATTCAGAAAGAAGAAAAAACATGATTCCCGTGGACAGATTCTGTTGCTGATCAAGACCATCAGAAATTAAATCCTAATCTGTGAGCTGAGAAGAAAGGCTTCCCTGCTATAACTGTTTATTCCAGATCTTGGTTCCCCAAGTATTTGGGGGTGGGGAGGAGAAATTGTGGGTCTTTTGCTTTGCACCCAGTCCCCAGGTAAATATTGCAGTGATTGCTAAGCTTGAAATCTTGCTTTTGGTGATGCCAGAAGTATGCAAGGCTTCTGTTTCAAGGTATATTTTACTAGAAGGTTTCCGTTTTTTTAGATACTGGGTCATTACTGTAGTAAAGTGGTTATCTTGTTACCTGATGCTCAGTGCAGTCCACTCTTGGTTTCAAATGTGACAATGGACAATTCAGTGCTGTCTGGTCCATCAGCACAGTAGGTGCTGTTAAGGTACTAAGTGCTGTGTATTCTGCTGACAATTGGGTCATTTTCAACCTCAATATTGAAAGCAACAAGTCCATTAAATGAAAAGCCCAAATAAAAGGTCACATTTTCATTTCCAGGAGGCAGTGAATCAAGATGGAGTGGCAAGATAGGAAACTCCTTCACATGACCACGTATATATAATTTTCTGTCCTTGGTCCAACCAGAAACTCTTTTGAGTATGTCACGAATACTGGCAATATTCCACACAGTTCCATGTAGCCACTTCATTCTCCTCTCGTCTAAGGACCCACTAATTAATTTCTCAATTTTAGTTTTGTGCACAATCTTACCTAAGCCATAACCCTTTCCCAGAAAGAAGTGAGTGTAGATTCTTTTCTTTCTGGTAGGAACATCTTTCATCTTGATGTCATATAAACGTTTCAGGGTTTGAAGGGCTGTGTTTAGAATTTCGTCTTTATCTGGATGAGGCTCCTTGTCTAATGCCTCATCTGGCCAGTACAACAAAGTGAGCAAAAAAAAGGCACTTGCTGGAAATGGTCTTTTTCCTTTAAAGAATCTTGCACTGAGATTACGAAGAGTTTGCATTGGACAAAGTTTGGCCGATCCTGGTGCTAAGCATGCTAATGTGATGTGGCACAAAATATAATTGATCAGATCATTGTCCTCAAGGCTGCGTGGGTTTTCTGGGTAGAAACCAAGGATCCTTTCTAGCTTTTCAGCTGATCTTTTCTCTTTCTTATCTGTTAAGAATGACAGGATATTGGTGACACTACCTCCACCACTGCTATAAATATGCATGCGTCTCATTAGCTGGCTCTCAGGGCCACCGTTGCTATCCTCGGTCAGTGATGTTGAGATGAAGAATTTGGCATATACCTCAGACTGTCTTTTTAGCCATTTTCTAGGATTATGAATTTGTTCTTCCTTTTCATTTTTTTCATCATCTTCTTCCTTCTCATGGTCTTTATCAGTTTGGAAATAACTTAGGTCTTCAGAAATCCATTCTAGAGCTTCATACAGGTTCTGGCGTAAGCCTTTTAAGCGTGAGTGAAGCCTTCCCCATGGCTTTTCGATGTCTTTAGGAATGTAATCTGTGATCAGGTATTTCACAAGCTCAGAATTTTCCCCCTCTGGCGTTCTGCGAAATACTTGGACTGTGGACAAAAATTTAAGTAGACGACATCCTACTTCAACTTCTCCAAAATAGCCAGCATTGTTCATACTGTCACGTTCTGCTTTTGCAGCCCATTGTGCAGCCTTGAAGCATTTCATAGCTTTAAGAGCCATCTCGATCTTTTCAATGATGCTTTCAGGAGTGTCCTCCTCTGTCTTTTTATCCAGAACAAAACTAAACCATCTCCTATAGACTTGACCTTCTGTGTCTAAAATATAAGAATCATTTGGCAAATGAAATTTTGCAACCCCTGCCCAATATTCTGCATCTTTAAATTTTTCATTGTTGTAATGCAGCCTGGCAAGCTGCTGGGCAAAAAAAGGATCTTTTCCAAGGAGCTCATATGCAGCTTTTAAAACAGCTATAGCTTTTTCACAGTCTTCAACTTGACAGATGTGTTCAATGAATGGGGAGAAAAGAGTATCAGTTTTGTCACCCCTGCTTCTTTTCTCACGTCTAATAAAAAGATCTCTGATGAACTTTATGAATTCCCCTCGTACAAATCTGTTTTCAAAGAGTGTCTTTTCCTGAAGAAGTGTCATTGCAAGTTGACTTTGAGGTTCGTTCCCTGAAAGCTGATGCAGAATTTCTTTTGCAACCAGACAGTGTATTATCTGAACATATGAAATATTGGTAGTACTTTCCCTTCGCTCAATAAAAATCATTCTTGCTTGTTCACTCAAGAGACGTTTGAAATTATATGCTCTTGATGTCATTGCTGTATGTAACCCCAGTCCCAGAAAAGCCTCACAGTGTGACAGTGAAACATAAGAGTTAGGTACATAAAAATTGAGCAAAGCCACATAACGTATCAAATATGTATCACGAGAATGACGGTCTATGCCTTGCAGTATGTGCTCTACAAAGTTTCTCACGTATGCTTCATTGAACTCTTCGCACATCAGGACAAATGTAAGTATGAACTCTGGCTTGACATCCTTCTGCCTCAGTTTTTCAAGTTTAGCTTTGAACAGACTTTTCTCTGAGTCCGTCAGCTTGTGAGTGACAGCAACTGTGTCCAGTGGAGAAGCCTTGCAAAGTCTTTCAGGGTCATTGGATCGTCTACAGCACATGAGGATGAAGTAAGGTCTGGGGGAATTAATTTTCCTAGTTCCTACAGCATCCATTAACTCATTCCTTAGTTCTTCTAAGTAGTCTTCATCATAATCTTCGATCAGGAGGAGCACAGGAAGACAGTGACTGGTATCTTTTTCTTCGTAATCTCTAAATGCAAGTGCATGTTCACAGACAGTTGAAGGTGAATATGAGGTTTTGATAACAGCACATCTTAAGTCCTTTCTTCTTTTCCATAGAACCTGCCGTGCTATTGTGCTTCCACCGCTTCCAGGGTGGTGAAATATCTTCAGCTTAGCCACAGAATAGTTGAGTCTGCTTCCTCGTAAAATATCACCCAGGAGTTTGCTTGCATCCTCACATGCTTCACGTTCAATGATTTCTCCACAGTGTCTTTTATCAGCCAGCCAGAAGTTTTTCCAGATTATTTTTCTCCCTCTGTAAAAATTTTGTTCTATTTCTTGTATTTCTTTTTCCGTTAAAAGATCTATTTTGATGTCATCACACTGGTCAGAACAAAGGATTTCTAGGGAAAACATTTTCTCTTCTTCCAGCAAGGGAAGTGTGCACAGCCCTCTGGTGGAAACTGGTAGATGTCTGGGTTGTGCTGTAGAAGGCAGCATTGCTTGAATGGTGGCATCTATGTGACTTAGTTTCATACCCACGATGCTGCATTGCTCTAGTGTCTCGATGCTGCAGGATGCCTGGGCTAGATGAGCCCACTTCTCATAATTTTCTCTGGACTCTGCAATGCAAACGATGTACTCTGTGCCATTCATCTCTGCATAGAATTCATGAAAAGCATCCACAAGGGGCTTCTGGACTGGAGACAGCAGTAGGAAAAGCACGATGAAAGACCTCTGTGGCAGGATTTCATCACAGATTCGAGTAATTGCTTTCTTAAGGTATTTTTTTTTTATTCTAATCCATGTATTTTCATCACAAGGTTTTTCATCTCCATGGAAGTCACTGCGCCCATTGCAGAATATCCAGCTAGCCTGATCAAACAGGCACAGATGTTTCTGAGCACAAGGGTTGCCAGTCTTACCTTCATTGGAAAAGTCCTGTAAAAAATAGGACCTTGTTGTATGGAGTTCTTTGTACTTGCTGTACAACCCTGACACATAAGAATCTTCATCAAAGTCGAAGACGCAGAAAATGTTCAAGTGCATTAAAAAGTTGATACAGTTCAAATTATCCTTTTCACATCTGTTTGTGACAAGGATGTACCATAGGGAATCATCCATATAGTTTTTGCCATCATTTAGTAGAATTGATAACTTCCTTCCTAAATTTTGAGGTATTTCTGTATGTACTTGGGCACTGGAGAGCTCAGCGTTTTCTCTTTGAGTATCTCTGTCTCGTAAGCCCCTAATAAAAGTAGTGAGATCTTTGAGCTTTACGGGTTCAGACTTTGTTCCCAGTCTCTGATAGAGAACTGGGTCTTTTGTGAGGTTCACCTTCTGGTTGTCTTCATTATACTTTGGCAAACGCACTTCAAACAATTGGTTGTTTACTAAACTGGATGTTGGTTCAATGTCAACCTCCACCACGAATCTTTGTTCCTGAGAGTCTTTGGAAATCACTTCAACAAAAACAGGTGGGTGAATACATCTCCTTGCAATTTCTTGTACCTCTTCTGGAAAGCATTTCTCTATATAATCTAATGCATCAGTGTAGTGTTCTCGCTCTTTGACCTTTATGCCAACGATCTCTCCGTGTTTCCAGCCCTTGTCCTCAACACTGTCCATGATACCAAAATGTATGGTACCATTTGTTCGAATGTTCATGCAGGCTGAAGCAAATCTTAACACTTCACAGGCAAATTTTGATTGCAGCCGTTCTCTGGTCAGCTCTGCAGCAGTGGCAAAAGATTTGTATTCATGACAAGGAGTGATCAAATTGTTGACTCCTGATTCTGGAGCAAGAACTCTGCCTTTCACATACTTGAAATCAGTATTCTGACTTCTGAATGGTCGATGGTTGCTGAGCTCTATGGTTTCATCAGTACTTTTAAGCTGGGAGTTACTACTTTGCCTCTTGCCAGAAGTACAAGCTATGTTGTCTCTGTTAGTTTTGTCTGCTGCACCAGAGCTGTCTCCACTGGACGTTTTTTGAGCAGATGCATTTCTGGGTCTTACCACATCCGTTTGTGCATCAGCTCTGCCAGAGGCTTTGCTGCTGGAAGGTTTGTCTTGCTGTGCCTTCTGCTGTTGCTGCTTAAGGTCCTTTATCTTGCAGATTAACCTGTGGATTTGGGCCCCTTTCATACCAATGCCTTTGAGGAAAGGTTCATCCAGTTTCAGGAGCAGTGGGCCTGTTAATTTTTTTGCATGTAGTTTTTCTACATACTCTTTCTTGATTCCAGTCGATTCTAGCCAGCGTTGGACGTCACTCTCATCCCATTTATTCACAGGCAATGTGCTGTCATCTACAAGTTAAAATTATACATTAGTAATAGAAACTAAAAGCATGTCAACATGCTGGACATGGCATTATAATCCTTGCAAAACTGGCCGTGCGAGATGGTTTTCTGCCAGTCGCAGTGAGAAACTGCATCTTAACTTGTCAAATATGTCAGTTCTGATGACAAAAAGCATCTTAATCAAAAGCAGCCCAAGGCAAATAAATAAGCAAAGTAGGAGACCAGGAGGTTTGAAAACTATCTTCAAAGGGAGTCATGGAATTACCACAAAATTCCCTTCAAAAAGATTTTGCATTAAGGTTCTAAGAACTGACAGGGCCTGCATTCCCTGAATTAGAGAGGTTGGGTGAGATAGTTTACTCACTGTGGTCCGCTTATTATATGCTAAGTGAAGATGCATCCATACAAACCATAAGATGATGTAAAGAGTACTGATTAGTTCCCCACTAGAGATAAACCCTTAAAATGTAGCTATTAAAAAGCAAATTGCTACATTTAAAGTGCAGATTTTCTGAAAGCAACACATACCCATGGCCTTCGATGAGGGAAATCCTTCTGTTAATGAACGAAATCCTAGAGAGGAGAGGTGGAAAAAACTGTCTTCAGATTTGCAGTAAACATTCCCTGTGCTAGTTAAAGTTGACTTATTTATTCTGATTTCTCAACCCCCTCCCCACCTTTTGGTCCAGAGCGGTTTCTGTACCTCTGAAAGCCCAGTCGTGCCAGCAGCACCACAGCTCTGTGCTGTGTGGAAGAAGCTGTTCCTGCTGCGGACACGTGTGGGTGTGTGAAGGAGATGGGCTTTATTTAGCTGGAGGGGCATGTGCTGCCAGCTACTTCTGTTGGGTATTTGAGAAAAGGAGGCCCAATAGTATCTTTAGGTTGCATAGTATCTCTTGCTTTTTTATTCCTATGTTTTTCTTACTTTCTCTCCCTTCCCCTCCCTTTTCCTCTTGCTCCCTCATGCTCCCTTTTTTCTCCTGTTCTCCTGTGTGTACTGTTTCCCTCTCTCCTTTTTTTTTTTTTCTTTTCCACATCTGATCTGGTGGTGTTCAGTGGATTCTCCATGGAGCAGTTCAGCTTCACTGCCCAACCCAGAAAACCTTTCATTTTTAATGGGATGTCCTGGCCTGATGTCCTCTGCCTTGCTCAGGCTCTGCCTGCAAGGGTTACAAAGATGAGCTGCAGCAGGGATACCCAGCTCTGTACTGTAGGAAATATTAATTAAGCCTGCTCAGGTTAGTCAACAGGAACCATCCATCATCTATGGACTAGTTATCGAGGGACACAGCACGATGGTGGTGGTGACTTCTCTTACTTGGTTGTGTGAAAGCTCAACTCTGTGGTGGCCCAGCAGGTGGCAGTAGTCCAGGCAGCTCCATCCCTGCAGCTCCTGGTGGTACACCAGGGCTTTTCCCCTCTCCCTTTTTTTTTTTTTCTTTTCCACATCTGATCTGGTGGTGTTCAGTGGATTCTCCATGGAGCAGTTCAGCTTCACTGCCCAACCCAGAAAACCTTTCATTTTTAATGGGATGTCCTGGCCTGATGTCCTCTGCCTTGCTCAGGCTCTGCCTGCAAGGGTTACAAAGATGAGCTGCAGCAGGGATACCCAGCTCTGTACTGTAGGAAATATTAATTAAGCCTGCTCAGGTTAGTCAACAGGAACCATCCATCATCTATGGACTAGTTATCGAGGGACACAGCACGATGGTGGTGGTGACTTCTCTTACTTGGTTGTGTGAAAGCTCAACTCTGTGGTGGCCCAGCAGGTGGCAGTAGTCCAGGCAGCTCCATCCCTGCAGCTCCTGGTGGTACACCAGGGACACTTGCAGCCTCCGAATTCAGGTGTGAGAGGAGGAGACACCAGTGCAGCCGGCAGAAGAGGCAGCTGTGGGGCTCTGTGCAAGCTTCCTGCAGTGTCTGGAAGTACAGAGATTGTAGCTGAGGGAAAGTGAGGAGCTCTCTTCCCAGGAGCATGGCTTGGCCAGAGGTGAGTTTAGCACAACATGGCAATCTGGGGGGACAGTGAGTCTAGGAGAACCAGGGATGCTAGAAAACATTATGTGGAATAGGTCCCTATTTGCCAGGTCCCAGGGCTGTGCTTTCATCCTGTCCTGGCTTGTGGTCTCACACAGACACACCCCCTGCTCGTCTCTGCCACAGCCTGCTGTGACGACGTCAGGCAGTTTCGGAAGAATGAAACTGAACGGGGAATAGAAACCAGGGTGGGGCCATGACACCCCTCCCCCACCCCGAGCTGCTCAATCCCACTTACCGCTGCCGAGGAGCCCTTTCCCCAGTGGGGTAGGGGGGGGGAGAGGGGAAGAGGGACGCTGGGGGGGGTGATCATTGCTTTTCCTACACCTGCTACCTGTAAAAGTAGCCCCCGAGGCTGCCAATAACCTCCCACCACCCACTCGCCAGCGACCCCCATCA